ATCGCTTTTGGATATAATTTGTTAATAACTTGGTTTTAGACATGTTTATATTAATATGTGATATTTTATGTAGTGGCAACAGATTATTTGAAAACTAGCTAAGAATAAAAGGAGCAGAGAATAATGTTAAGGTCTAAGATAATGATCTAATATCTAATACATTATTCTTTGTTAATAATCAGCATTTTTTGGGTGGTTGTATCTATTTCATATAAAATAATTGCACTGAGTAAAAGAAATATTGTGATTCTTATGCAGAACACCAATTTTTGTCACATTGTAATTCGGCAATTCGTGTAGAATAGATTGTCTTATCTGTCTGTAAAAACATGCATCATTATTTGTAGACCGTAAATGATTTGCAAATATTTTAAACTGATTTTGAACTGTTTCTGTAACAGTCCAGGGAAGTACATGGTAGTACCAATTTAAGATGTGGAATCATAAGACTATATTATCGCTTTTTGGCGTGTAGTGGTGTAGAAGAAAGAATGCAGTTTACTATTCTTGTTTTATTAATACTTTTTGCTAGATATTTATCATCCACCATAACGTTGCATGTCCTGAAAATTCTCCGTTACAGTTAATTTTTTAATGTGTAAAACCTATCGATTTGTATGATTGAAAATGAGTATGACATAGTTCCAAGCTAATGTCACAAAGTATAAATATCGATGATCATCAGATGTTTTTTTCATATGGAAATAGTTTTGCTTGGCTAATTTTTGATCGACACTAACAGCGATATTTAACTTGGCAGTGTGGCTTCAGCTATAGTCAGTTCATGTCAAATCCAGCTAAATAGCTCATATTTCAACTACCTATACACTTTTGGGAAATGTCAAAAATCACTGCCGCATAAAAATGCCATCTAATTCTTTACCAGGCCTTCTGCACAAATGGATGAGCCTCTTATTGATGAGCTGAGATTGAAATGAAGTGACTAAGTATTCCATACAAAGCTCACGATTCCCGATATGATAAGATATGTGTGTTAATATGTATAACATTCCAGTTATACAATTTATCTATGCATGTACGTATGAAAAGACACTCCTTTTCAACGAGAACTTTTATACGTTATACCCTAGCTGTGATAACCGATTATACCCAGTATGTAGTCTTTGAATTTTTTGTACTGTTATTGGACCTGAAGCAGTGTGGTAGAAGGGGAGTGCCCTTTTAAGTTTTTAATATTGTAACTTCTTGTACACATTATCGTATAATAAAATAAATATAGCCATTTAAGTGAGTATTCGTTTCTGACTTTAACATATTCATATTACCCCCTACGTCTAGATCACGCTTATCATCACAACATATCGGGTACCTCGGCTCACAAAAGTTGCGCATTTAGGTAATTGAGAAGTAGCGCTCGGATTTCGATGACATTTTCACACAATGTTACTACGATGGCAAGTACGCAAAAGCTTTGTAGTATCTGAAAATCGGTCCAGTGCCAGTAACGAAAAAGTCCTAAAACCTAAAAAAATAGAGGTAAGGCACTTGAGAGAGGGAGTTGTAGGGGGATGGCGATTGTTCATCTCAATTTTTTGAAATTATCACACTTATACGCTCCCAACACTGGTAATGCTACGCACCTGTAGATTTCTCTGTAAGTTAGCCCTTAAAACAGTAAAATATTATCGCCAGTCGGATCGCGTACCTACCGGTCGCGGCTTTGGTGAGTGTTCTGGTATGGTACCACACATATTTCCGCGGCGCTACAGCATAGTGACCGCGCTGCCACGGTGTCATATCTGACCGAGTTAAGCATCGATGACAGGATACATTTCCAGATGCCCTACCGATAGGGTAAGAATGTCTATGGCTATGACTTTTTTTTCAGAGGTTCAAGTTTGTGCGGAACATAAGGCGTTGCGTGGGATGGTCAGAGCCAACTTACTTGACGCAATTTTTTCAAAACGGTTTGTGTCAATTCTATTGTACATGCAGATAGACCCTTCCAACACAAGTTGATTTGTTGTTGAGTTATAAGCGATCAAATGAACATAAACTTTGACAATAGAAAAAGCACTGGTGAGTTGCTTAAAAAAAATCACAAGGCACCAATTCCAGTATAACATGTCCCATGATGCCATACACCCGAGTGTTGGGCGACTGACAACTGCGGCAAAAATCAAAATCCAAGCTGTTATATAATTAATATTGTATTATTTTGTCGAGTATAAATAGTAGGAGGGTGAATAATCTTACACAGTTGTCACTTCTAGACTTGACCTGGGACTAAATTCTTAAAATGGTAATAGAACACTTCCTACTAGCTATTATTATTCTCTTTTCTTGTAGCTTCTGACGTTTGTTTTGATGTTTATCAAATAAATTTGTCGATGCATCTATTTTCGGCAAAATAATAGGTTTTTAGGTTTTTCACATCATTAAACGTTTTCTCACAACGTTAACTTTGTCTTTAGAAACGAGACTGATGGACAACTGCTAGACCTTTGTACTTTTTCTCCTGAGAATGATTCTGGGAGCACCTATTCCATTGGCGTTCAGGAATACAGTTTATCGAAAGCTTAGAGAAGAATATGCCTCCCAGACAAATGTGGTTTGAAGTCTGAACTTGAGGCTTTATTGTATCTTAACTAAAATCTTTAGCCGCTCCTAAATCGGACTAATCAAACCTCAGCTCCACTATACACATACATTAAACCCTAGAAGTTATAAGTAAGAGAGAAACACACTAACGTTAGTCCATTTTTGCTAGCAAACCCAAAGCACTTAAGACTACCAATTTTTAGGATCTACAATTCTTTCAACATTATACATTGTTTGTTTTATACGTGAATATGAGAGATTAAGAACGTATTGCGGAAGATTATTCGGCAGAAACCTTGTATGACCATAACAAAAACATGCTTCTCGTTTAGTTGCTTACCATCATATCCATCATAAAATTTTATTGTCAAGCGGATCAATACACTGCGCAATGAAAAATTCCATTTATCATCATGTATTAAAGACGATACGACTTCCTGTCGTAGATGAGGTTATGAGCACATAAATGATGTAAAGGAAGAGCATGCAAAAAAAACGTGGCATAATTCCAGAGAAGTCATGTTATCTGTCTTTCCCCGTACATAAAAATTAATACCTGAATATATCATGAAGTTCCGCAAGATCAATATAAATCTTTGCAACAGTATTTATAGTATTTTTGACATCGCAGAAACTTAAAAACAAAATCAATCTAAGAAATCTTTGCCTACGCAAATAAATTATTAGATGATTGAACAATATGCTCAACGAAATTTTCTACCTATTTTTAGACTTATAGAAAGAACAAATGTTGTTGACATTCCGATATTTTTTTTGCTTTTGCTAGTCGATTTCTAGGAACTTCTAAAATTCTGCTAAGAATCTATGCAGTATTTTTTTGACGTAGATTCCAACTCATCCGAGATATACCAAATAACATTATTCACAGAGTTTTTTCGGAATAGCACAAAATTGCATCGTCGATAATTGAATCAGATTGTTCATATATGTATTTTCCAAGGATAGTGCATTTTCCTCATTTTTGCACTCTTATGTTGAACCCTCTGTATTTCCCGTGGAAAAAGACAGTGAATAGAATCCGATGTTAGTTTTGCATTCCGATATAGATGGTTATGTTATATTTCATGTCGAACAGTCAACGACAGAAATAAAAGTGATTTTTCTCACTCCTAAAGGAAGCTTAATCTCCATAGCTGGAGTAAAGTCATATTCTAGGGAGACGTCGGCGTCGTTGAAAAGCGTTATGACAGAACTTATTTCCGAAAGCACACTTTTGGCGTGAACATTTTCGTTTGAACTTTGAAGGACATATTCTGATAATTATTATACGTAGAAAAAACAGACCTTTTCGAGTCAAGCTAGTGATATATAGTTGGAATAGAATTCTTGAGACATACACTTATGGTAGATTTGTTTCTGACATTTAGCGGTATTTAACGGTATAACCTACGCACTTTGTGTACAGGAAACGGAACCTGAATTATCACTCTCGTTACATGCAGAATCATCGCCTCCAAAATTATTTGTCTGACGATCTTATTTCCTTGGACTAGTAAGTACTACCAAGGCGAAATTGAATTCCACCGTCCCTTAATTCAACAACTAATTTCTTCGGTTCAGCATTGTTCTGGTTTTAGTAGCAACGGCGGCCAAACACAATATGCACCCTCCTCGAATGGTTGCAGTCGTTCTATAAAGAAAATTGAGGAGAGATGGAGACTGTAATGCAGGTGCGCTTATCTCTGGAGATGCCATAAAATATAGGCCTGGGGCTTTATGCACTCTAATGGAATTTGAAACTCTGGCGAGCTTTTATAGTGAAAATAAGGTAGAAGGTGTGCAAGATGCTCAAGTAAGATGTGACGTTAAGTCGTTTAACATCAACACTTATTACATAAAAAGCTATCTAGGACTAAAGTAGAGTTTTAGGTAAACTGACTACTATGCATCACTCATTAGTTTCACTTATGAAAAAGCTTTTCATGTTATTTCTAACATTTACGAAAGAAGTACCATAAAATCGTTATCACATTTTCTTTAGACAAAATGTGAGGGGGGTTAAACTTCAAGACCTGCAAATTTTTAAACTCCATACGTAAGTATTAAATCCGATGTCTGACTGAAAATTTTGAACCAACCCAGCTGTCTACAGGTCGCGGATCGTTGATTCCTGTAAAACGTACAACGTAACAAGTCTGAATGTCCATATATTTAATGAAGCTTCCCCATTTATTGACAGGGTTGCCGTTAAATCGCTTTTCATAACTCTGTTCTTGTTGTCTTTACCTTGTACATTCCACCATTTTTAACTGTAACGACAACCGAGTTTGAATATTATTTGGATGATTTGGAATCATTTGTTCAAGCTTTTGAACCTTGATGTACAATCCTTCTAATTGGTGGCTGCAATATCCATGCGTTTGAAGTTGATAAAAATGGCCGTACGAATCAAATTCTAAGCCTGCTCTTTTTTACAGCTTCAAAAGTGCAATGATGCAGTAAATGATAATGCACTGGTGCTGGACTTAGTTTTAGCCAACTTTAATGACGTTGTACCAAGGACTTACCGCCTGCTAAAGAGGATCATTATCCAGCTTTATTACTCGAGTAGTTAGTAGTAAAAGTTGCACGTGGTCATATACACTTTTCCTCAATCTCACTCATATCCTCCAGATTTAAGTCTTAAGGACAGACTAAGGAAAAAATCAAAGCAACCAATGCCAACCATCTCCATCAGAAATTAAAACAGCTCCGTGCTGAGATTAAGAATCAAATCACAGATGCATATTCAGCTTATATTCAGGATGCTGTGGATAAAATTCGCCAAGATCCTACAAAATTTTAGTCATTTGTTAATGCTAAAAGGACAAATTCCAGATTCCCAGGAAATATTATATATAAGGACAGCCAATATAGCTCGCCTAGGGAGATGCAGAATACTTTCCAACAGTTTTTACAAAATCTGATGCATCTACAACTACAAATCCCGCTAGCTCAATTATTACATTGAACAGTATTAGTGAAGATGATATTATTCGCGTTTCTAGGAAACTAAAAAACAAAAAGACTTCATGATTCGATGGTGTTCCCCGTTTCATAGTAAAAGGTTGTATTTATGTGTTGGCCAAACCTCTGCGTGCGGTTTTCAATACACGTACATGTTCCTCGATCTGGAAAATGATTTTCAAAAATGGTGATGTCAGCGATATCTGTAACTATAGGCAGATAGCAATACTTTGTACCTTTATCCAGATTTTTGAGATCCTAATATACGATGTCTTGTATGGCTCTGTGAGAGATTCTATTCATGACAATCATATCTGGGAGGTCAACAGTCACAAACTTGACTTGTTTAACGCAAGACATCCCTGAGGTTTTGGATGATCAGGGTCAACTGTATGTCATATACACTGACTTTCAAAAGGCCTTTGATCAAATATATGATTACTTGTTAGTCATATATCCTGGAAAGGAGCATGTTCGTGGAATATGGCGGCTATCAATCCAAGACTTCTGGTGTACCACAGGGGTCCAATTTAGGACCTTTGTTGTTCATAATCTCCATCAATGATTTATCGCTGTCTTTGCCATGCATGCATATACTTTTATGCTGACTATTTGAAGTGGTATACTGTTATTAATAATCTCAATGACTGCATTTTGTTGCAAATCTGAGTGAACTTTATCTACTCATGGTGCTCTAACAATATTAATATTTCAAAATTCAAGGTTATGACATTTACTAGAGAACTACATCCCACATTATGCGATAATCATAAAATTGATGATAACCTGCTAGAGCGGACCTAGACTTCCAACTAGTAGCAACGCTACTCAGATCCAAAGCAACTTGATTATTATGTTATAAAAATGTTTCATCATCATGATACAAATAATGCATTGCAACATTTAAAAACAAATATCTCGAAAACTGTTAGCTTTAGACACTTCTAGCAAGTGTACCTTTTTTGTTGTGTAAATACGAGAAAATAGGATTTTTCGATCAGTTGTTGTATACAGGGTAGCACAAAAAGTTATGATAAGCTTTTACCGAAATAGTGCTGTAAGTTGGCGCCCTCTAAAAGTTTGGCCACAAAAAACAACGGATTCTTGTTTCTCATACTATAAAACCTCCCTAAACCAAGTTTTATGCCAAAATCTGAAATACTTGTCAGGCAATAAGGAAAAATAGAAAATAAAATTGTAACTTTGACACCCTGTATCTCGAAAACTATCAACTTTTGGACTTAGATATGTTTAGGTCAATTCACATATTTTGGTCTGTAGTTTCTCAAGTTTCGAGATTTCCCGTGGATTAGAATGGACGCTTCCAGGAAAAGAAGATTCATATGACATTCTATAGCATTTTAATGATTGGGTGTTGGCTAATATGTGATTCAATGTCGAAAAACTTTCATGTCGCCATTTTGGACAGTTATGATTTTATAATCCATAAATGTAAAGTTCTCACGAGAAACTTGAAAACGATGCATCACACGACCCCTCATTTCGTTTGAAAAAATAATCCAAAATTGCGCACAACCACCATTATGAAGCTTCCAACTGCCACCTTTACGCTTAAATATAGCATTTATGCATCAATTTCATTATCCCAAATTTTAGCTTTCAAAAATGACCTGTACAAAAAATAAGTGGAGGTGACAGCACTGTATAAGAAGAAAAGTAGAATATCAGCATTATCCTGGTTTTAGTTGCAACGGTGGCTAATTAGACAATACGTACCCACCTTGAACGGTTGCAGTCGTTCCATGAAGAAAACGGAGGAGAGATGATACTGTAATGCAGGTACGCGAGTCTCTAGGGATGCCATAAAATATAGGCCTCGAACATCTGTCTGTTGCTTATGCACTCTAGTGGAATTTGAAATTGAAAAATATTGTACCTTACGTAGGAAAATTTGCTATAGCGAATCCATTCTAATTTTAATTTTAGGGGGATTGGAGAGGACTTAGTACTCTCTATGGAAGGTTAGGTCTTGAAAGCCCTATAGACATGAAAAAATGCTTGCAAAATGTTAATTGCAATATCTTGCACCGGAAGACAAATAAAAAAAAAATTGTCGAGACATGGTTTTGTATTAGGTGTGCCTACTTTGGTAACACTAAAATATTTGTTTTGTTTGTGTGGTTTCCGATTTACCTTCAGTTTTGTATATCGGTTATAATCAGTGCGTTGTCTGTAACCTTCTCGGTACACCTCTATAAATCAATTGATTTTAATATTGTCCTTATCGCGAAGAAGAGGTCCGTGAAGTTGGGCCAGAAAAATCTGGGCTGTTAAAAAACGATATGCCATACGATTTTCCATCGTTTTATCATGTTTTTCCATCAAAAATTTCTGGTTTTCTAACATTGGTTTAAAAAATATAGAAATAAAAACTCTGGGCTAAGTACACGTAACCCAGATTTTCCAGATTATTTGAATCGATCAATACACATCGTTTCTTCATCGTTTTACCACATTTTTCCACCAAGCATTTTTATTTTTTCACCGTTGAGTTACGAGAAAAACTTAAAAAAACTACGAAGGACATGTATTATGAAATTATCCCCGAATTAGTTAGATTTAAAAAAAATGAGCTCTATGTTTTACCAACCAATTTTTTTGTTTTTCCACCTTTGAGTAACAAAATAAATGTGAAATCATTTTTCAGGGTCAATTAACTCAAACCTCGCTCAACTTGTTAAATCGTTTTTCCATCATATTTATTCAATCTTCCACCAGAAGTTTTCATTTTTCCACCTTTGGTCAATTAGTAAAATTGAAAATAAGAAGTCAGAATTACATGAACGTAGAACGTAGCTCGCATTTGTTCATACTTTTGTATACCTGTCCAGGCTACGTGGAAATAATCACAAACCGTTTTTCCACCTTATCACTTCGATTTTTCAACAGAAATGTTCGTTTTTCCAGATTTTGCTAATGAGAAAAATTCAAAATAACAAATCAGGGTCACACGTAGATAGTATAAATTAACTCACACTTCTCGGAACATGTGCAGGCTACGTGGAAATAATTGCGAAAAGTTTTTCCATCCCATCACCGAAAGTTTCCATTTTTCCACCTTTAGGTAATAGAAGAAATTGGAAATAACAAGTCATGGTCATACGTAGATAGCCGAAAATATGGACAAGATCTTTCAGTCAACTAACATCAGCAGAAGATGGAGCAGAATAGCAAAAAAATATTAAAAAACCAAAAATCAAGGCAGCAAGGATACGGATACGGAACGTAAGCTAGATATAAGTAAAGAAAAAATCAAGAAAATATATCCAAAGGCAATAAGGTAAAATGATTTGCGTAGGAACATGGAGTCTCACAGAAAAAGAAGAAGAATTAATAATGGAATTTGAAACAACAAAGCTATTAGGAGTAACCGAAACAAACATGAAAGGACAAGGTAACACGTTAATAACGGATCACTTGCTGATATACAGTGGAGTAACGGACACAAAAGGAGCTGAGGAAGAAGTTGCTTGACTGATTCACAAAGATTGGAACGAGAAGATAAACAGATGGGAATACATAATCTCAAGAATACTAAAAATAAGAATCCGAATTGAAGGAAACGTGGAATTAGATTGTAAAGCGGCATAAGGCCCAAACGAAGATGACAAAAAAGAAAATAAGGAAATATTTTACACCATGTTACAGGAAACAGTGGACAGTTCAACAAATGATATATCCAATAATTGTAGGGGACATGAATGCAAGAGCTGGGAAAGATGTAGGTAGATATGCTCCAATGATAGGAAAACACGGAGAAACAACATTAAATGACACCGGAAGAAGACTACTAGAATTTTGTATGGAGAATGAGTTGATAAAATAGGTAACACCAAATTTCAACATAGAGATATTCACAAGTATACCCGAGTACTCAAAAGTAGAAATGAACATACTAATGTCTAAAATAAAGACACGAGTCAAAAGAGGCTTTGAAATAAGAAGTGACCATTATCTCCTAGAAGCAAAATTAAATATCGTGCAAGAAAATAATAAGGAGAACAGGAAACACCGAAAAGAAATCCAGCGCAAAATTAAAACGTACAAACTAAGGGACAATTATACACAAGCAATATTCCAAAACCGTTTAAGATAAAGCTTGAACATCACCTAAAAGACATGTATATTGAGTAGCGCAGAAGAGGTGTGTGGAACAATGGAAGAGAAGATAGCAAACCGCGTGGTGGAAAGATGATACAAAAAATGCCGTAAAAATGAAGAAGAATGCGTGGAAAACATACAACATACCGTCGAACCGTACGAGGAATATAGAAAACCTTGGTAAAAAGTAAAGCTGAAGGTGATGAACGCTAAAACAAGCTCATGGCAGAAATTTGGAGAAAAAATGGAGGAAAACTTTAATGGGAATCAAAAATTATTCTACAGAGTCTTGAAAAGTATAAGACGAAAAAATAACAATGAAGTGGACTATATTGATGATAAAAACGGACATCTACTAACACAGGACGAAAAAATCATGGAACGATGGAGGGGATATTTTCGGGAGTTATTAGGAGGGGAAGAAAATATAGAAAATCGCGTAAGGGAGGAGTTAATACAAGATATTGGGTCAAATAGTGACACTATAACAAATCCTAGTACCCAGGAAGAATTAGAAAATGCCGTAAGGAAACTTAAAGTAGGGAAAGTCCCGGGATACGACGGCATAACAGCAGAGATGGTAAAGTATATGGGAGACATTTTTATAGCTGTTGCATAAAGTAGCAGAGAAGAACAAAATACCGAAAGACTGGGAGCTAGCAATGCTACTACCATTATTTAAAAACGGAGATACAAAGGTATGTGAGAACTACAGAGGCATTTCCCTATTAAGTATAACCGAAAAAGTTTATGAGAGCATACTAACCGAAAGGCTAAAGAGGCAATCGAGCGCAACCTGGACTAAGTTCAACATGGATTCAGGGAAGGGAGAGGAACAACGGATGCAATATTTATAATGAAACAACTCATAGAAGGAATAGTAGATAATAACGAAACAATATATCATACATATATCAAAATCATTTGATTCTGTGGATAGAATGAACCTTTGAAGTATACTGAGCGACTATAATGTGAACAAAATTTTACTAGAAAATGTACACAGCCTATACAACTATGTAAAAACAAAAAATAAAAAATCTGAAAAATTTGGGCCGATATCTGTTCACAGTACTTATGGATAAAATTATAAAAGATTGTGGGAACAGAATCAAGAAAACAAAGTGGAGATACTATAAAATGGAGAGGGTAAATATTAACCAACTGATGACCTAGTACTGTTAGCAAACAAAAAGAAGGTACATTCTTGAGGTATGGAATGAGGAACTAAGAAAATATAAACTGAAAATAAATATGAACAAAACAATATGTTTGAGTATTTATAAAGACCCACAAAACATAGAAACCCAATTAGAACGACAAATAATGCAATGAATAACGCAGTTTAAATATTTAGGAATAAAGGTAACAGAGGACGGAAAGGTCGAGGCAGAAATAGAAGATAGAATACTACAAGATTATACTTCCAACTAAATAAACACCTATTTAACAAAAAAAAAATATCTACAAAAACAAAAATAAGAATTTTCAACTCACTGTATATCCGTACTGTGGATTTTGAGTGAAAGACAGAGTCAGAAAATACAAGCTAGTGAAATGAAACTGCTAAGAAGAATTGCGGGTCTGAAGATTATGGACAAAGTCAGAAATGTAGAAATAAGAAGAAAATTATAGGTGTCATATTTGCAGAACGAAGAATACAAGTGAATGCGCTAAGGTGGTTTGGACACATGATTAGAATGCCAAATACATGACGAAGGGTCTGGAGAATGGGACAATTCAAGAAAAAGTCGAAAGGAAGACCATAAAGAAAGTGGAATGACGAAATACAGTTGTACTTAAGACAAATGCATTTGGACTGGAAAAGAGCAGAAGCACTACCTGAAGACACAACAAAATGGAGAAAGAAAATAAGAGAAGTGTAGAAAGATATCAACTTCTACACTGGCTAGATCCGGTAGAAGAGGAACGGATTAAGTAAGTATGTAATTTCACAACCCATTTTAGTAGAGAAACACTGGTTCCTCTCTGATGGCAACTTTTATTATCGGAGACCTGTTTTACTTTTGTAATATGTAATGAACTACATTTTTACGAAAACCTTGAAAGCGTAATAGTCAAGTAGTAAATGCACTACAATGTTTCATCTTAGATAAGCTTTCTGCCTTTAAAACATATTTTTTCATTAGAAAGTGACAAACTAAGTCTATTGCAGCAGAAAGTTTGGTTAATTTAGCGAATGGTAGAAAATAAACTAATAAATAACTCTATTTCGTGATATGGAGTAGCGAAAAAGGAAATATAAAAATCTCTGCCCCAAAAAGCTATCGGTCAGGAGTAGTTTCTCATCTTTTCCGCGTTAGTTCACAAACCCATTAAACTTTTCTCATCAGTATCAATTTTCGACCTATTACATTTCCTACTACGTTTTCCCCAACGTATGGTGTGCTATCAACGTTTATTTGTTCGTCGAAGGGGCTCATTTGGGATCGTGAAACAGCCGCTTTCTGTTCGTATGATAGGTTTCCATGTGATCTATATATATATATATAGTTTCGCAAATCTTGAATCTGATAAAGACTTGTATATTCAAGAGGAACATTTCAAATAAAAAAGTCGTCTTGATTCCTGCCGCTGTACTGAAGAGATGTGCAGCAGAGCTTGCTCCGGTTCTTTCGCGTCTCTTCCATATATCTTACGAATCCATCATTTCCTCAGAAAACAAGAAATTTGCTCATATCCAGCCCATCATAAAAAAATATCTAAGATGACTTGTTCAACTGCAGTCCTATGCTTTTTGTATAAATAAGGTGCTAGAGAAGAACATAAATCGAGAAATTCTGGAGTACCTTGGATATCACGGCTTAGTGAGCATCAGTCAGTA